CGCTAGATATTAGCTGCTCGTTGTTTTTCGTTCTATTTGTCCGATGAAAACAAAAAATTCTTCCATTTTTTTCCACTCTTGATCTCGCTTTCTCTACTAAAAAGATTGTCATAATTTCATATAGAAGAAGAAAAAGAAAAGACTCACGGTTCATTCTATAAAATAGGTTCAATTTTCGTAATCATGAGAATATATTTAAGGTTTCAGAATTTTTTAGTTGAAATTTTTTAAGCATTGATGTTTTATTTGATTTTTCTTGTTTTAGTGACCTTTGTTGATCGGACTTCAACCATCGGATTTATCAAATGTGCTCATCATAAGGGCGCGGGTATGTCTTTCTCTTCTTCATCCACACCCACATCTTCATGTTTTAGCAATAAGAAAGAGAAAAACCACATTATTTTGAATTACAATTGATAATTAAAAAAAAAAGAAACATAAAGAAATAGTATATTATTGTGTCAATAAAGCTTTTTTGCTTTAAATAATCCGCCTCTTTTTTCTTTCATACCAATCTGCGCATTTTTTGCCTCTGGTGTAGGTTTGCAATATTTTAACCTGATGGACATGCCAATGACGTGCTTGCAAATATAATTTTTAAGGAATGATGAGCAAGTGCAAGTTGTTTTTCTCTATTCTTCAGCTTTGTTAAGCAAACTTACACACCATATGTTGAAGTAGACGGACGTGTATATGTGAGTATGGGTATTAGTCTTCTCTTCGGGCGCACGCAGTCTCCTTTTGTTTTTCTTAATCTCTTTACTATTATTAGAAGACTTCAGTTCCATATCATTGTAACTTCTACTATCAGAAATATATAGTGCTAAGCGTTGTGATTGAGCCATTTGTATAAATTATATATTTTATTTTATAAAATTGAGAAAATACGTATTTGTATAAATAAATGAATTTATATTGCCCTTTTTATATAAAATTTATCCTTAATTTAAGTAAATTATTGCTCATTCAGTATAGTTATTGCTCATTTATTATAATTATTTCTCATTCAGTATAATTACTGCTAAATTTAATTATTACTCATTTAAATTATTTTATTGCTCAATTAAATATAAGTTTTTTATATAGAACAAAAAAGAAAAATTATCAAGGTCATTTCATGGGTTAATGAAGAAGATTTTTAGTTCTTTTATAAATGACATTAATATCTAAGCTTAAGAGTTGTAAATATATCCCATTATATGAGCTTCGGCATATTGAACTGAATTGCTAACACCACGTTTTGCAGTTACAAGAAGCCGATAGCTACTAAAGGCCATTGTATTCGAGAAATTTTGTCGAGAAACGTATGTTAGACGATTGGAATCAATATATGAATCAATACCTGTTGAACCATTGTATATCAATGTCCAACTTGCTCCAGAATTGAGAGCTGCAATACTTGTTTCATTTGTTCCCTCAAGAGTTACCATTGTTGGGTCACGAGTAGGGAAATCGTTTGAAGTCGCAAAAAGAAGACCAATAGCAACAGTTGCATTACTTATAGTAGGTGTAACATAAAATCCAGTGTTAATTCCGGGAGGAGCTGAACCATAACAGCCGGTCGATCCATCTCCAAAGTTGAGATATTTTGTATTTGTATTACCATCGATCGCGTTATATGGATTTTCGGTGACTGGATAATTGTTGCCAGATCCACCAGTAGATCCACCAGCTATTGTATTACATATGCCAACAGTCGGATCATATGCTCGTGTTATGGCCCCGGTTGGACTTCCTGTGATCGTAGTACCTATAAATTTATATTAATGAAAGATCACATTTATATTAAGGAAACGTATTTAGAGTCTTTTATCAATATTACTTTTAGCATCATTCTCGACCAGTAATAATAGATAAAGAGTCAAGACCTGTTCTAGTATTTATTTTTTTTGAGGCATTTTATGAAACTTAGGTGGAACTCAATTTAAAAGAATTTTCATTAAAAATATACCAATATGAAATGTTCAACATACTATTCTGTTAATGTGACTTTATTATTCATTTTAAGATATGTATCATTTTACTAGAAAATTATCTGTATATATTTGATTTTATTCTTTCTTATCCATGAATTCATACGATGAATGAATAGATCACTGAAAAAGGAGTAAAAATTATTTCTTAGTTTAGTAATTATTCTTGTTGAATCTCTCAAAAATATCAACGATTATCTGTATATTTTGAAACGACCCTACTATCGCCGAAAATTTGTCAAAAAATTGAAATAATAGTATGTCATGATAAAGATCTTACCAGTTGTTGTTGATGCCATTGTTGCGGTATTTGCTGTAGTTGTTGTTGTTGTTGCTGCTGTTATTGCTATTGTTGTTGCTATTTCTGTTGCCGTTGTTGTTTTTGCCGCCGTCCTTGCTGAAAAATGAAGCAGAATACATTGTGTGTGAACGAGTCCATCTTATTGTGATTTCTTTGTCATTTATGTTGTATATATAGGATTCGTTGGCAAAATCGACACCTCACTTGTTATCGTAGGTGAAAGATGAAATGGAATCATAAAGAGAACATTGGTAGAATAATACATATTCTTGTCTCTGATTACCCATATTATTGAAATCACATCAGTTTTGTCGATTAATCGTGATCCCTTAGTGACTCTTCAAATAATAGACTAGATCGCAATGAATCGTGATATTTCAATAAGAATGACTTAGAATTATCTACATTTATCTACATAAAAATTGTTCGCACATTTTTTGTTCTTCAAAAGCTAGGGAAACTAAATTTTGATGATTTTACCTTAAAAACTAGTTTAAGTTTTGTGCATATACCACTCTACTGCAACTTCGAAAATACAGAACATTCTTTACAATATGTGTATATTTTCATACACAAGTTTCAGACCCATTACACGAAATA